TTTAACCCAAAAGGTATCAAACTAAAGCGAAATTATGATGCCTTGGAATTTTTAGCTTCGGGAACATGCTTTAGGGAAAAAACGCAGCTGAAGTTTTAACTCGAACTCGCAGCTCAGAATTTTTGGTTTGAAGGTATACTTACAACATCCATCTGCAACCAGTGCAACGGACACATTTTCTGAGACCTCTATGAGAATCTCTCATACTGAGTGAGAAATCGAAAAACTATCGAAATATTTTCTATGTAAAAAATGGACGTTTTGTACGAATTCTGGACGAGGCTTTTTGTGTTTTGAAATGACAAGCGGAGAGAGGACTCACTAGATACAAGCCGACCAGGCCCTCGATACTATAATAAAAAAAGGTAGGGTCATCGGGAGCTCACACGGCTCAGAGCTCGGGGACAAACGAACAACTTCCAGAAAAAAAGGCAGAGAGACGGCGACAACGACGACAACAACAACAGATACCTTGCCCGTAATCTGATGAGGATGTCCCAATTAGTGAAGGTCCACCTGAAGTTAATGACGGAGAGAGCAATCCTTCTCCGACATTTTCATGATGATTGAAATATTTAGAGGGCTCAAGCGACAAGGTAACTCGAATATTCCTACCCTAGAAATGTTACGAGGGTAAATCGGCTGCTTCAATGATGTTTTACATGATAATGAAGCAGTTCCTCGAGCCCTGAGTAGATTCTTTCCCTTTTGAATAGTCCGTTGATGTAGGATTGAAGTCTCTGCGTCAGTTCCTACATTTATCTGTCGGTGAGGCTTTTTGTCTGTCTGTGGTTTTCTCCCATCCCCTGGAAAAAACTATTGGATCCTTGACTGAAAAGTTTCTTCGGGCGGTCTTTGAATTTTTTTACATTGAAGTCAAATATTATAAATGGGACGTATTTATACAACAATCCATCTCGATGAGGAATAGTTAGGATTTAGATAAAAGAAGTGGGGACGCAAACGAAATCGGAGATGAATACGGAGATACCAAGGCGGGAACGAAAAGAATTGGCAAGAGTCACTGAAGACGTCATTAAAAGCTACAGATAGTTGGGGACCGTTTATAAAATAAACGCTCTTGTAGTGTAGGGGGATTTGAGCCTGAGTTACGAATGCGTTAAAGAGAGGACGGGAGGCGGTCAGGGCTCCGTTACGCTAGATTACGCGTGTAGCGCTGCTTTTCGGAAATACATAAGATGAGAAATCAACGCGAAGTGGCGATTTCACATTCCAAATTCATCACATAGCTCTAATTTTAGGGGGAGGGTCAAACGCTTAGCATAATCTTTCACAGGGGGTGTAAAGCTGTGTTACTGGTGTGTTATGATTAAAAGGGGGATCTAAAAGTTCTGGGGGTGCAAATTTTCCGGAAGAGTAATTTTTGTCGAGTTGGATAGAAAAATCCAATTTTTACACGAAAAACATTCAGTGGTGTTCAAAACGCATGTTTTGACTGATTTAATTCATTTTTGTGTCAATGAAGGGTGTAGATTTTCATTGCATGACCTTAATCGATAGGTCCCTATCTTAGCAGTGTTTTTCATCGATCGAGTTCATCGATAACGATCCAATAATCGACCCGCAGGTAGATCGATAGTTGGAAATATAGCTCGATCGACTTCGTTTTAATGGTCGGTGTCCCGATCGATACAACTCCTATCGACATCCATTCCGACGCTTCTAAATGTAGGAAGTTTCAAAAATAAAAATGAATTGAGCGCCTCGTCGTGGCTCCTAATGCTGGAACGTTTTATTTACATTGTACGGGGATGATCACGGCCCTAATCTCCGAGCAAGAAATAGATCGTGATTAGCACCCTCGCCCTCGCTTAATGGTCAGGTGGCTGGGGCTCCTGCGCATCATCCATCAGCTTCTTATCTCTCAAGGCTGTTTTTTCTCTATCGGTCATACCCATAACTTATCGACCATTCTTCGGGATGGCTTCTGGCCGCGAGGTGGATTAAGAGGACTCCCCCCTCCCCCGCCCACCCTTTAAGCCGTATCGTAACTACCTAGAAGCAGCGTTGTCAAATCGTGGGATCAAGCCTTACTAATGGCTCGCCAACCCGACTGGAACATTCTGAACCATGAAAAATTACATTTCACGAATCACACTGTCGGGTATCCAAACGGCAATTAAATTCGATGCTTGACTCAGTACGATTTTACTTTCAGCAGGACTGAATTTTGACCCCCAAGTAAATTGTGCTTTTGTGTCTTTCTTCTCCCATTTTTTCAAAGCATCAGTAATTAGATTCTCTTGATTTCACAGTGTAGATAATTTCTTCATGTGATTAAGCCAGACATGGATTTAATAAAATTAGTTACTAACGCATTTCATTTTAATGTTTTCGTTGAGTGGAACTTCATTGCTTCTCCTTCTTTCTTCGATTTGAGAACCTCCTCGCTTCCTCTATAATCATTTTTCATTTTAAAATTTTCGGAAATAACCGAAGATCCAGCGTTTATGATAAAATGCCAACTGTTTCAATTGAAGGCGTATTTACATCCCTGAGAAGGATATATTCCGTACATTTTTCTCATCAAACTTCCACTTCAGATCAAGAGTGTCATCGCTTATCAGTAGTTCCCTTGTTCTCTCCAATTTTCCTCTTGTTATATTTCAGGGTTGCCACGGTCAGGGAATACCGGGAAATGTCAGGAAATTTTAAAAAGTCATGGAAAACCTAGAATTGTCAAGGAAAATTACGAAAATGTCAGGGAAATATTTTAAAGTCACCTTTATTTCCTCTTTAGAATAGGTTTGACGTTTCGAACAATAAATTTTGCCTGAAAACTATTTCAAATCATGTCTTTTTAAGCATCTGTCATATCCTCAAGTGTAAGGGAATTTCACCAGAATGTGTCAGGGAAATCAGAGAAATGTCAGGGAATTTCATTTTCTGAATTCTGTGGTAACACTGATCTTTCTTTGTCGATAATTTTTTTCAATTTCATCGCGCCTCCTCTTTTCCTCCGCTTGTTTTCTTAAAAACTGACTCAAACCGGTTAGCTTAGTTATGAGTTGTTCATCTTTTTAATTTCAGATTACAGTCAAAATCAAAATAGCAATCGCACCACAGTCATTACGTCTGTTGCTTCGCAATTTAAACCGCGAGTAATCAGCATGACACCTCCTCATTCCTGATGAATTCTCGGCGAAAAATGCCAAAACTTTGATGACATTTTTTTTTATTCCGGAGGTCTTCATCGCGTAAGATTGTTGTTACGCAACGAAGAGGAATGTTTTTTATTAGTGTCAGTAGGTGAAATGAAAGGCAAGCTGGGCGGACGATGCAACATACCATCTCTCCTCTGTGCCTGTCGAGCAGTGTAGATGGGTCGAGGTGAATAGCCGCTTGTATTAAGCCCGTCTATAAATTTGCTGTAAATCTCCAAAAGGTGTGTAACCTTAGCCAGTCCTAAGAGGAACTTGCTCAAATCGGAAGCTTCGGTGCAAGTAGAATAATGAACGGACCTTTCGAGAGGATGAATTTCTCAGTTAATGAAGCATCGGTGAACCAAAAAGTTTGTACTTATTCAAAAAGTCAAAGATCCTTTTTTAAAGGAGAGTGTGATATTGATGCACGAGTTCATCAGAGAGGAACCAACCCATATTAAGTTGAACGGAGAAAAAGAGGTCTGAAGTTTTATTCCTGCATAAGGCTCAACGAAGAAAATAAGCTTCAACCCCTCTTTTCACATACTAGTTTCTGTTTTTCGACTTTCAGTTTTTAGCACGGGAAAATATATGGCTAGTGAAACTCAAAAACATTCTCAACTCAATTTTTTCGAAAATGTGGGTTAGTTCCTTTCTGATAAACTCGGTCCATCTGCAGTCGCATAGATCACTAAAATAGTGTGTAATAACATCAGTCGCTGCAGGAATTGTGAACATACACCTATCACGGCTGCCGATACCCATACCCAAGTCTCCTAAACTTTAGATACCACTAATGCAGCTCTCGCGGTCCCTCTTTTGCCTATCTCCTGAGTTGAAGGCGAATGAGTACTGCCTAGGAGTATGAGTTTAGTTACACCATGACTACTGCCTTCCTATGCGAATACCACCTCTGGTGTGACAATTAGTGACTTTCAAACATTTCGTTAAGGAGGATTCGTGGGACTCCCCTCGCATCAAAAGGGAGTTCGGAGGATTTCCTTAACGTCAAAGGGGTCTCGGAGGCCTCATCCTCCAGAAAATTTTGAAAAATCGAGTCGTCTCCCGATCAATTTTAAGCTGCTCTTACTAACAAATAGATCGAATTAAAATTCCCAAGGTGAAAAATATGTCCCTCAATTATTACACTCCTTGGGGCCTCTCATGACCCCACATTAATTCCACCCACATTTCTTAACCTCCCACTGGAATTAGAAGCTACGGACTCAGAGGCCAAAACTCGCGGGTGCTGGAGCCGTAGCTTCGTTTTCTCTGGGTGCTGCGCCCGGAAGTTTCGGCCTCTGAGCCCGGAACTTGGACGGTATGTATATATGGACGGAGTTAAACAGGAAGGAACCAAGCCACATCGAGATGGAACCGAGAAAAAGAGGTTTAAAGTTTGGCTCCTGCATAAGACTCAATGTAAAAGATAAACTTCAAGTTCAATTTCTGCAAAATTTGCTCCAACGAAAACTTTGAATTTTTGGCGATAGATAGTAGAGCAGTAGTTGAGTTCAAAACCACTCATAACTCAATTTTTTTCCAAAATGTGGGTTGGTTCCTTTCTGCTTAACTCTGTCCATATAGCCTGTAAGTACGGCTTCCACGGCCGGAGTTTTTTTTTCAGTGCCTAAAGCATGTCTGATAACGTCTAAAATTTCGTAAATTTTTTTCTTTTTTTTGAATTTTTCGTATGCGGCAACAAGGTGACGCTGCCTCGAGCGGCGCGGCGGCGGCGGCGCTGAGATTGAGGCAGGGCGCGCGGGCAGGAGCTACTCCGATGGCCGACCACTCTACTCTACTCGTCACCACCGCGTTCGGCTACTCACGTTCGGCTTCTCAGTCAGTCGCATGCCTCCGACCTCTCGCGCAGGTGTGTTCGCCGCCGCTCCCGCCACGCCACACGTAACCTCCAATTCGGGCCCACATCGCGCATAACCCCCCAAAAAGCCCCCCATTTCATAAAATCAGTGCGCCGGATTCCCACGAGTACACCCGTATCAACTCTGAAAGTGAATTTGTCACGTGCCCCCTCCGTACCCCGGAAAAATTTTCAAAATCGAGCGCGCGTCCTTCAAAAACCAAAATTTGGGTTTCCTGACGTTTCAGCGATTGATGTGTTTACCATCTCAGCATTCAAATGCTAAATGTATAGTGTTTAGTGGCTCGAAAGCTGTGACCGAATAGTTCGAAATAACTGTGTTGTTGGTTTGCTCAAGTGTTTGCGATGCCGTTAGACCAGTCACAATGTTCTCTCTGTTTTAAAACCCGTGCTGGTGCTAACAATCGGTGCATGTCGATGAAGTGATGCGACCGGTGTCCATCGCAGAGCAGTGATTGGTTCGTCGTATTTCTGTTTTGTTTACCTCGAGTTTTTGGCTAGTGTGCTCCCCCCGCAAGGGGACTGGTGCCCCGAAAAATGGGGATTTCGAGTTTGTATGAGCGGCATTTGAATACTTAGGAAACTTCGCGACTTATTTGGATACTTCTGTTCCAGCTCTTTTCAGTCACCCTTTCTCGCCATGGGATTGCTGGTATGTAATGAAAGAGATATCTTTTTTTCTCTCTCTCTCTTTCTATTCTTGGAAACCGCAGGCATGTAAAAACTTGGTCGAATCTCCGTGGCTAATAATCAATGAAATGCAAATTCCTGGGTATTCAAATTTGACTCTGAGGAAGGATCATAGTCGATCTTGAGCTATCGTTTGGGGATAACCTAAGGGTAGGAGAAAAACGGAACCTCAGGTGGCCCTTCAGTATCGTCACAAATTTGACTAAGGGGGCTGTATACCATGAAGCACTATAACAAGTAATATTACCAAAATAGCGCACTCAATTGAACTTTTAAAACGATCTTAAGTTGAATTTTTTAAAATTGAACGGATGCGTCTAATTGTAGATCACAGGAAAAGTGCGCTTAAACCCTGATGTCGCACGTAATACAGCCCTCATCCCTGCGTATTTTTTAAAGACGGGGCCCCTTTTTTCAAAATCTAGAAATATCGTTGATACAATACGACTGAAATGGGTTTCTTTTTGAGGAACTGGGAATATCATTGATGTAATACGGCTGAAATAAAACCCTCTGTTGGCGCAATTTTTCACCATGACTTTTAGCCAGCGTTGTAAGCCGTTTTTGGCGTCACAGCAATATCAAGTTTAAACTGTCCAGCATCAAAAAATGTCTTTTTACCCACCTTTAACGTAGACGATTTATCTCTGTATCGCCAAAACCAGCTTTGAAATCACGCCAGAAATTGAAATTGCAGAGAGAGCTCTTCGCGGTTGCGCTGTCTCAAAATAGCCTCTACTGTTTCATTCATTACGATCAAAGCAAATGTAGGTAATTCGATGAAATTTTTATGGAATATTCTTTATGATCCTACTGTGTCATGAACGTAAAATTTCAGAAAATTCACCCAATCATTTCCCCTCTAAAATATAAAGCAGCATCGGAGATTCTGAAGCACCCCAACCGAAAAGTGCCCTTGCCGCGCCCATCGCCTCAACCATAAAATAAACTTTTTCATGGTTTCATTTTGACCTTATACCACGGTCAGGGAATACCGGGAAACGGAAATGTCAGGGAAAATAACGAAAATGTCAGGGAAAAAATGTTAGGCCACCCATATTTGTTACCTAGAATGGGTTTGACGTTTCGAACAACAAATTTTGCCCAACAACTAATTCTAATTATGTATTTTTAAATATCTGGCATACCTTCAATTGTCAGGGACTTTCACCAAAATGTGTCAGGGAAAAACAGGGAGATGTCAGGGAATTTCATTTTCCAGATTATGTAGCGCACAGAAAAAAAATTGCTGATTCAACAATTCAATTGCTAAAAACAGTGAGTGCAATGTTTCAACGCAGATTTTACAACAAAAAAATGCTACTTCAACCACATTGTAAACTAATTTAACCACGGGGGTGGTTAAAGTAACATTTTTTTGTTGTAAAATCTGCGTTGAAACATTGCACTCACTGTTTTTAGCAATTGAATTGTTGAATCAGCAATTTTTTTTCCGTGCAATCCTGACATTTCAATGAATTCCCCGAAGCACCGAAACAGAATAAACTTTTTGGGAGGCTCTTTCGGAAATTGCGCGCTTACGAAACGATGATGGAGCAGGGACGCGGTAGTGGTGAGGCAACATCCGTAGGTTCCCAAACCGTAGCGCGTCGAGAATACTGCGCGTGAATCTGATGCGCACGGATTTCAAGGATCCCAGCTGCCGCCATATGATGCGGACCTCGCGATGCGTGGGCGTAGATTTCCGCGTCATTTCGGCACGACCACGCAACGCAGGGAGGCGCCTGACCACTCCTGGTTGAGAACTGCGGCGCCGCGAGGGATTCGAAGGGACGTTCAGGGAGGCGGGGAAGGGAGCGAGGGTTGATGATGGGCCGGGGGAAAAAAAGGTACGGTACTCCGGAATGCTGAGAATCAATCTCCAACCGCGTTAACAACCATCACCTGGCTACCAGACAAGAGTGGTGATGAGCCAGGGGGTGGAGGGGGATGAGGGGGGTTGCTGGGCCCAGCTGAGAACGCGATTTCGGCCGTGCAAGTGGCTCTCCATCTCCATCAACAGGTGAATCCCTGGAGTTGCCCACTTCTTAATGATGTGTTCTCCCCGTCCGGTTTCACGCGCCAAATATCTATCGCCTCCTTGGTTTTTTCCTTGGTATCGGTAGAAAACTGATCTAGAGCCAGTTCTATCAGTTTTGATCAAATCTGTCTAATGCGTAAACAGGGGCCTAGCTATTATTCCAGTGCTGCCATTTCCTGGGATCAATTCCGAATTTAAGAACTCTTCAATTAATCGGAAAATGGAATTTCTGAAATTCTCGGAATTGCCAGCTAATTTCGGAATTTTGGGGGTTTTTTGTCAGTTTGGCAGATTATTTGATCTTTGATGATTTTTCAAAAATAAAATTTAACGATCTTTAGAATTGAATCCGGGCGTATTTCAGAATTTTTACCCGAAACTTTTGAAAATATTGGAGTTCTTCTCGGAACTTCCTCTCGAAAATTCGGAATTCGTCCCAGGAACCCCGGACTCTTTGGGCAGCGCTGAGTTATTCAAGTGACTAAAAAGATTCCGTTCTACCACTGCTCGTCAGTCACACTCGTTCTTTGATTACGTTTGTAATATTATTTTGAAAAAGAAAGAGAAAAAGCATGATAGTATACCGCCAACTAATGGTGCATTACTTCTAAAACTTTAATTTACTGCATTGAAAAATCAGTTGCGAATCAGCTCCGCCAGGTGTTGCGAGTTGTCACTAAATGTTCTGAAAGATATCAACTTTTGCTAAAAAGATTCCCAATGTATTCGAAAGAGATGCGGTGAAGATGGCGATATCTACTCTTTCTACCTTCCGTAACGATGACCGCAATGACTACGTGTCAGGTGTTCTTTTTTTTTCTCTCCGTTTTATTTTTCGATTTTTGTGTTAGGTATAGCCTTCCGGTTGATAGTTCCTACGATGGGATATTTTCAAAACGAGACACGGTGTGTCGTGTCAGCAATACAGACATCTTCGAAAGTTGGACAGCAGTCATTCAGAGCACGTAAAAACGTTTTAAATTCAAATCGTTCATCCGCACGAGGAGTAGTCTTGCTCGGTCGGCCTTGTTCCCGCGATGGCGGCTGCCACAGGCACTTACTTTCATAGCCTTCTGGATTTACTGTCTTCTGCCTCCTTGGCACTTTTGCCTCGCATCGAAATAAAATCCGCGCTGTTGGATGTTCGTCCCCGAAAGCAACGGTTATTTTACCGATCGGAACACGTCGATTAAATCGGACCTGCATCGCCAATCGAAATGTCGTTTCGGCCGATCGAAAGGAAAAGAAACCGAGGAAACGGCATGGGATGTTTCATTTCTCACTCTCTCTCGTCTCGGGACGCATGTTCACCGAAATCGTAAAATCGTGTAACGAAAGTGCTTTGTTTAATTTTATTTCGTTCGAATTCGTTTTCTCGCATTTTTTTGTGGTCGTTCCGCTGAAATGGAGATGCAGAGTCCGCTTTTACAGCCTCGAACATTCGGAGTCCATGCTTAATTTTGTAATGTAATGGCGTTTGTTCGACATAGCAGTTGGACATAAAAGCACTCGAATATTTACATAATATTAATCCAAGCTATGTTACGGATTGCTCGGGCGACAGTAATAGTCAGCTTAAGGTGTGGCTTACAAGCATTGTGCTTGTACAAGCGCCCCTTATTACGGACCAAAAGCGCGGCAAATCTAGATTTTTGAGATTCCATCGTTTAATGAGAGCAAAACTCTTCATTTACCGTTTACGCTGTCGTTGCAATCAGACAAGAGTGTAGCGTAACTAAATGAAGAGAAAAGTCCTGTCAGTATAATTTCAATACTTCCAGAGCTTTTGCGAAAATGAAAGTAGGTATGCCCCTTTTGCCACTAGGGAGGCTCCAGATAAACTTTGTAGGTAAATGTAAAGTCTTCTTTTGACCCCAAGATCTGTCTCATAAAATCTTTTCGTCGCTCTGAACCTTTTATCGCCCCATTTTTCGTTCCATAGAAGTGAGCTCGTCTCAAATTTTCCTTAGTCTGAAGTATGCAACCTCTCTGATGGGCCAGTGAGCATTTACTACAATGGAGAGGAAAACCAGAGTGCCTTCAAGTTTTTACATATGCAATGCGGACGTCCATCGAGCACGAATAGTGGTATCCTACTGTTAGTATTCCCGCTACGTAGTATCAGTGCATCACCACAATGGAAAAGAACACTTGAGCGCCTTCAAGTTTCTGCATATGCAACGCGGACATCCATCGAGCACGAATAGTGGTATCCTAATGTTAGTATCCCGGTTGCGCATATGATTAACGTACCACCATGACGGAAAGGTACCACCATGACGGAAAGGAACACTTGAGCGCATTCAAGGTTTTGTATATGCAACACGGGCACCCTTTGAAGGCGAATAGTGGTATCCTGCCTTAAGTATTCCCGCGGCGCGACGTAGTATCAGCACATCACCATGAAAGGAAGACTTGAACGCCTTCAAGTTTTCGCATATGCGACACGGACACCCTTTAAATACGAATTGTTGCTTTAAGGAAGGTGCTATTCTATCCCTTGGGTAGCATCGGTGGATTTGAGGAGAAAGGATCCCTGCATGCAAACCAGGTGGCTCCGTAGATGGAGGGCGGCGTTGGAAGTATGGTTTATGAATGCATGCGGTAGGCGTTGTCTGGAGTCGACATGATTGCCCGTGAAATTACACGCCGCATCGGAGTCGACTCACAATGCGAGTTGCTCATCGATAATAAGACACTAGAGCAAAGAGCAAGTGTTGATGAGAGCAACACAACAAGAACAATCCCCGAGGGTTCGCGGTCCCGCTTCAATTGCAGCTCATTCTTCGCCGCCGAACTGGCGAATTGAGCGCCTTCGAAGATGTCCCATCTGTCTCATTGACCCAGATGACGGGACAAGACTGCCGTGCAAAAGAAGAACGCCGTATGAACAATCGAGAGTTGCCGAATTCCCTTTGATA